CGAACGCTGCTGGTTGGACTGCTATCTTAAGCGAATGCTACCTAAAGTATTTAGAATTAAGTTTTTAGTTACAGATTAAGTGAAATGACTTGCCCGTTTTTGAGTTATCAGCCGAATTCACCTTCTTATCGTACACTGTCAAGTATAAGGGCGCGGGCACACAACGACGCAGCGTAAACGTAGATTGACGGACGTAGAGAGCAAAAAATCATGTACGTGGCCAAGCTGCATTTACATTTGATAGCGATAAAAGCCATGCTTCAAGGCGAATTTATACAAGGTGGTGTTCAAGGCGAATTTATACAAGGTGGTGTTGATGGCGAATTAAATTTTCGCCGCGGTACTACTGAATGTCAAAATAATGTGTTTGTTGTAAACAAGGCGAATTCATTTTACAACAAACACATCATTTTGACATTAAGACGTACCTCGGCGAAAATCTAAATTCGCCATTAACACCATCTTGTTTAAATTCGCCTTGGTGGTGTTGGTAGCTAGGGCTTACTGTGGATTTTTGGCAATTTTTTGTTTCCGATAGTATCGCGATAGGGGCTACCATTCATCGATGGTGGTGTCAAATTGAAACTATCGATAGTGCCATCGATAGTTTTGCATCTCTACTTTTAACTAATCGCTTCCAATGAAATTGGGGTGGAGCCAACTTTTGATTCAACTGATCGCCTCTAAAATTGCCTGCAAAATCGGCTCATGCGAATTGTCCAAAAAAGACAAAATATTGCCTTAGAAAATCTTTTTTAGCGGAAATAGAAAAATTCATACATGTTTACCTGAAATGGAAAAATTCAAACATGTTTGCAAAATCAATTTGCAATCAGCAAATCGATTTCACGCAAACATGATATTTTCGGCAAGCAAGCAAATGTACAAAAACCCGCTCCTTTACCCGTTCACAGTTTCTTTCTCCACACTTGTCGTTCTGCCTTCCGTTTTTATTTTAAATTGTCTTTTCGTATTCTTTAGCTAAAAATATCCAGTAACTTGCCAGTAACCAAATTTCGGAGAGTAATATGGTAGACAGACGGAGAAAATTAATTTGAATTAATAAGCATAAATGCAAATTAAAATTTTACCCTTACAGACGGCAGTAATGCGAATAAACCAGCCGCAAGGTCGTGGGTTCGAGTCCCACGGCCAGTATACTTTTTTTATTTCTTTTTCATTCTTTTTTTATAAGTTCTATATTTTTTTTACGTTACTTTCAGTTAGTTGTTGTTGAATTTTTAACAAAATTCATCTCTAAAAATTAAAATTAACTAATAGTAAAATAAGAAACGTGATATAAAATAAAGCAAATGAAAATAAAATAAAGTAAAATTAAATATATAAATAAAATAAAATAAAAAAATATAAAATAAATAATAAAAACAAAAAAATTTTCGCAATCGCTCCAACCGAATATCGAACCTGGCAGCTACAGGCTTGTAGCTCGCAACTCTCACCACTCGGCTACCGCGTACGCGAAACTCGACTGCTTCGTTTGCTTTCGTGTACAAAAGACAACAACTGGCCGTTTTTACCGGTGTTGTCATCAAAAATTCCCCGGATCCGAGTTAATTGCCAAAAATTTCGTGCATTTGTTCGGCTGCTTATGCTCATTTTAAAGAGGAAAATGCATGAGTTAAAGCAAATTAGGGCTGGTTATGCAAATAATCGAGCCCGTTTGTCTACCGTATAAGCCAATATATACTCCCAATGAGAGAAATATGCAAGAAAGTACGAAAACGCAAAACCAGCAAGAAGTTGCTAGTTTTATAAGCAGCTGATTAATTTGTTATTTTCCGATTAAATTTTTCTTAGAAAACTAGTATTTTCCATCTTATTATATATTTAAATAGGTTTATTTTGTCAATTGTAACTCTAAAAGCACCACAAACGATTATTTTGTTAATGTGCACAGATACCCTGCAAAAATCGCGACTACTCCATGCATGCGTGTAAAGAGTACTCCCTAAGGACCAAAGAGTACTCCAAAATTAACCACAATTCATATAAAAAATATGGTCCAATTAACATTGCGATGTCCTAGGGCAGGACCATATACTCCATCCCTGCATTACATCAGAGTAGCACAAAACTACTCCAACATATTAACAATGGCATTGTTGTTATATTTTTTCGTTTGTACACGCTTTTGTTCTTCACTTCTCAAATGCTTTTTCGAAATTAATAAAAACCAAGACAAAAATTAATTAATTACATGTTGCCTCTGACGGTATTCGAACCCGAACATGCTGGGAGCTAAGAACTAACAGCGAGCATCTCTACACGTTCAGCTACAGCCAGACATGCAAATGTGCTTTCAAATGCTCAACTTCAATCACGTTTCGTTAAAACACGAGCAGTGATCGGATAACAAACAATAAGCTGGCGCAGAGACACGAGTTGGTCCGCTACAGCATGACAGAGGAACACTTTTGTAAGTACTCCAATTTACCACAAATAGACTACATGGTCCAACGATTTTTGCAGGGTAGTTACAATGTGAAAGAATGTGAATTACATCAGAGAACTCTCTCTCTATACGTTCTCTAGTACGCGAACAGGGCTTTAGCAGAGAACGTATATAAATTTATATACGTTATCTGATGGTAGTTTAGCTAAAACTTAAACCAATCTTGTTTACTCAGCTCCAGAAGATGCCGCTGTTAAGTTCACCAGAACAACACAAAGCAAAAATGTTCACCTAAATGTTGAAGTTACGAAATTTCGTAGGCTTACACGGTTGCTAGGTAGCCGAGTGCGTTTAGCTGCAATGTTAGCGATCAACGTGGCCAAGGTTCGACGCCCGGTGACCGCGGTTTGTTTTCGACGATGCAGTTTTTAATAATTATTGAATTGAAAAAATTTTTAAAATTGCGTGGAATCCCTCTACCATTATCCGCCACACGTCATTTGCCATATTCCATTGCATTTGCAACGTGCCAGGGAGGAGGGAGAGAAAATTCTCGGAAGGAAGCCAAGTGATCGCGAATCAATTTCAATAGACACTTGGTGCCATAAAGATGAGAAACAGTTTTTCTTTTTATCAACATCCGGCAATATTTTTCGCTTTATCAAAAAACTTTTTATAATTTACTTTTTCAAAATGCCTTTTTATTTAATTTTATTTATTTTCTATTTTTTCTCTTTTAAATTAAATTGTTTTCTGTGTCATACATTTTTTAATTAAACAAATGATTTTATTTTTTATTTTTATTTTTTACTAACCTTTCCCTGCAAACACCAGCTGGCCGCGGAACAAATATTTTACAACTTTTGTATTATTTTTAATGACATAATCTAGTCAGCGGAACCGTAGACCAATTCAAATATAACAAAAGCTTATAAAAACGACTTGCAGGTGTAGCTGCGTGTCTATGTTCGGGTGCATTCCAAAACGCCAAAATACAAAGTATCAGCCTCTTTTTTTCCAAACCGCACTAGAAGAAAAAGTCTAACTTGCGCAACCTAGTTTAAAACAATCTACAATCTACTGAAATTTGGAAATAAAAGAGACTGATGCTTTGTATTTTAATGTTTTGGAATACACCCTTTCTTTTGTTCGAGAAGTATTAGAAGTGTGTGTGGCAATGGTCAAATATGTATTCGGGATATTTTAGATTAACTGATTCTGAGTTGAATATACCCAGTATAAAACGGGTAAATTTATGATTTAGAGTATTGCCAGCAATAAATATCTCTCTTCTTCGGTGCTACCATGCTTTAAACGGGGACTCTAACAACCACCCTTACCAAGGCATGACTTGATCTAGATCTATTCAACTCCCAGATGGGTGGAAAATTTTAAACTGGAGAGCAGTGAGAGTGGGTGTGAGATAAGGCCTGTCCGCCTAGTAAAATCATCAGCTGCACTCCTGTTCTTTGGTGGAATTGGGAGTTTCAGAAGTGGAAGAGTGATTTGAGGAATCTTTAAATTAAGCTCTCGAAACAAATGCTGTACCCAAAGGGAAGCTAATTCGTTCTTCGTAAAGGCTGTCGTTCAAACTAATACTGTACTGGTATTGAAACCTAGGTTCACATCGCTAGGCTGATAAAAGTTCTAAAAAGGGGCCGAACCTCAAAGCTGTGTTCACTCAAGGGGCCTGATGGTTCATCCACATAAAAGGGAGTCATCCTATCTAAAACCCTCGGAGAGGTCCTCCCAATTCTGACGGAGCTGGTGGTATTGCTCGAAGTTATTTTACACAGCCGTATCAGTTTCGCGGGGTTGCCAAATTCAGACCTCCAGTCTTATAGGCAACTGCTTTTAGTGCTGTCAAAAGCGTCTTGAAGTAGTCAAATAGATCGTGAGTGTTGACCCTATTCCCGCGGGTCCGTCCCAAGACTTGGCTTATTGTGAATACCTGTTCTATGGTGGATTTGTCAGGCCTTAAGCCACACCCATAAGGCCCAACCAGTTCGCCGACGGCGGGCTTCAGTCTTTTACATAATACGCTCGATAAGACCTTGTAACTTATACTTAGAAGGTTGATTGCGCGGTAGTTGGCGTGTATGGGGAGGTCTAGTGGATTGGGCTGATCACATTAAAACTCCAGTCGTCGGGAATGCGTTCATCTGACCATATTCTACATAAGAGTTGATGCATGCATCTTATTAGCTTCACGCCGCCGTACTTATATAGCTCAGCTGGCAGGCTGTCAGTTCCAGCAGCTTTGTTAAATCTCACCCGCGTTCTCGCTGCTGCCATTCAGTAGAGTGGAAAAGTGTTCCCTCCATAATTTAAGTACGTTCTAAACATCGGTCACTAGGTCGCTTTGGTTGTTCTTACTAGAGTCCGCCCTGGTCTTTAAACCTTCCGTAAGTCGCCTAACTCAAGTATTTCGGACTCTTCCTTCTTATTAAGGCAAATACCTCTCGCTTGCCTCTTCAGTTCGCTGTAACGGTCCCACATGACTCGCGTGGCGCCCGTTCGCAGCGTTGCCCTGTAGGCGGCATCTTTTTTCTCTGCATCTTCTTGACACTCCTCATCGTACCAGTTATTCATTCGGGCTCGCTGAAATCGGACTGCGGTTACACTGCTCGCATATATCGGCTTGCTGAAGAGTGCTCTACAAGCGCATCCGAGGCTTCATTTTCATTATTCACTGGATATGATATATATTTATTGCAGGTCCCAACCCATTGGTGGGAGAGCGGTTTATAAAGCGAGCTGCTTGCATCCGTAGCTACTGCTGA